ATGAGGAGCCTTCATTACCTTTTCACACACTTTGGGACAACAAATACAATTTTATTGATATATTTATCGAAAAAAAATTAAAATACATGAAATTTTAAATTGCCGTAAACAGTTCAAAACAAGTCAAAATATTTTGAAAATGTTTTGATGTATAAAAAATTCTAATATTAACACTCAGTCAAAATTGCATCTATCTATGGTCTTTTGTTTTAGAGTTACATCAAAAAATAAAAATAATTTTTCTTTTGTTTTTCACGGCACTTTTGAAAACTACTGGGAAAACTACCAACTAGATTCACTACTTTCCTATTAGAAAAGATAATGTTGAAAAAAATCTAAGAATTTTTACTGTCCTAAAAGGTGATGATAGGTACAAAAAAAAAAATTAAAAACACACACATCATTGTAAAAACAATACGAGTATATTCATCGCTCCGCTCAGAATCTAAAATAGTTATTAGCAATACCTATAGGCCGAGCATCCACATGACGTATAAAACTATAAAAATATATTATATATTTAAAAGGCCATTAGTATATTGAGGGCCTCTACAATTATGATTTTCCCGGGCTGTGATATCCTCCCAAGTCCCAGTCCGCCACTGCTGTACATATATGTTTATCGTTTATCTTAAAATTGTTACAATTAAAATTCTCAAAAAATAATTATTGCAATGTTTATCTTTCTTGTTGGATTATTAGGAATTTTGATCATTTGATAAGCAAATCTGGCTTTTGATATGATAAACCAATCTGATTGGTTCCACTCTCGGCCTCCATTTTATTTCGATAGTTAAACAATCGTGATTTCGATAGTGAAGTGGTTCTACCATATATTATAATTACCTTGATAGCAGTGTTTGTACGTCTCACTTTGCGCCTTTGCGGTTGTGCTGATTAGTGATTACCGTTAGTGTTACTAGTTTCTGATTTTCACGGTTTAAATTTAAAAAACTCGGAAAATCATCAGCCGGTTGTCATTGTAAGAACGTTTGTTTGATAGAATTACACCTAAATCAACAGTAAGCAACCGTAGGAGATGAGTAGAATTTTTGAACTAGTTAGGCAGTTTAGTCTTAATGTTATTGTCTTTAATTTTTAATGTACTCTTGATATGCTATGTGGTATACCATTCATTCGCTGGATATTAACGAGTTTAATAATTTACAAAATTATTAATGATTGCAGCGTTTTAAGTTCACAATGGATCAATCCGATGAAGATGAAAACCCTTACGATTTTGTCTTACAATATAAAAGTAAGTGCTTATTACTAAATGTTTATGTACCTATAAACATTTGTGTTGTATAAGAGATTGTGTAGAAGAGGATACAGAGTCTACTAAGCAGTGGTGCCAAACCCTATATTAAGGTCGGGCCATGACCCGACATATTTTGAACATTTAAAATAGGGCCGCTTCATATTGACCATTTTCCTCTCCACGGTATGCCATTTTTTCCGATATTAAGATGTTGGGCATCTTGAAATATTTTTCGCCCTACTAGATTTTTAGGACTTCGACGCCACTGCTACTAAGTCCAAATTCAAGCACTCTAGGTTTAATACATAGTTGAATACCTATTTAATACCTACTACCTAGTCCCAGTTACATAAGTGAACACTAAACCTATATGTTTTATTTCTGTCTTTCAAGCTTACAAAATAGCAAATTTGCATTGTGTAAAACACTTTTTGTTTTGTTAGCTTAAGGCACCTCACAGGCTTTTATGGATACTTTAATTTTAAGTTGAGTATAAACCTTATAACTATGTATAATATTACAATTTTTTAATGCTTATAACTTGCTGTAAAATATAAATAGCAATAAAAGCCTATGTTAAGCTCAAGATAATAATATAAAATTGATAATGTGATGAATGTTTTCATGTTTAGGAGACAGAAAAAAAATTCGGTGAATTTGCATCTACTTCAGCTGTTTTACCTGAAATGATTAGTGATTATTGCACTATTTTCCAGCACTATTTAGTATTAAGTATTGTATTAAACCTTGAGTACTTGAATTCAGGTTCAACTCTATTACTTATCCTGGAAAATGTTTTTTATAAATTAAGAACCAGCAAACTACATTCAACTCTTGCATTTAGATATTTGAAACCAAAATTATTAAGAATCGATATTAGTTCTTATAGATATTTAAATGCATAAACTGAAATTAAGACTAATACCTTACATTTATATATTTAAAACCCCTCTGTTTAACATATAAATCCCTTATTTTCTATACAAATTAAAATAACTAGTATTCTTTGTTTCTAGTACAAAATACAGTGTTTAACATTGTAACTTGGAGCTGTCCTCAATATTATCAGAAACTATACCATCCAACGTAGGTAACTGACGACTGGATACCTGATTTATTGGACTTGAGAGTTTTTGTGTACTTTATGTATTTTTGAGATACCTATAATTTGCATGAATACAAACATAAATATTTACATTTTTTCCGTAACTGCGAAAACTTAATAATCTGAATAATTATTAATTTTATATATTTTGTATGGGCTTCTTTTTTTAGTTCAGTCAATTCTCTCAACTCTAAGTAAGACCAAACTGAATCACGTGGGTTTATTATGGTTAATAGTTTTGGAACGAATAGATCAAAACAATGGTTCAAGATTTCATAAAATTTGGAGATCACTGCATCTAAATGCAAATTAATAAGATTTGGGATTATATCGATATTGGCTAAGATTTGAATAATATCTTTAAAATTGCATGTATTAAAATTATAAATTACATTTATATGATTCATTTTTGGCATTTTAAATATAAATAAATTTAATCGAATGAAAATTACGTATGCTCAGATCACGAAAAACGTTAAGAAACAAACATGACTAACATATGATTCACGAAAACCTACTCAATTACAGATTAATACTTGTCTCAATAGGTCTCAGATAAGATATAAGAAAAGAAAACGACTTTGTCAAATTACATGGACTACCTATAAATATAACTATAAATATGTTATTTTAATTAATATAAGCAAATTATATATATTATGTATTTTAAAACCGTATTTATGCTATGAAAATATGTAAAATACAGAAATATACAGTACAAGTCAAAAATGGCAAAATATGCTAAATAAAACTTTGTATTTTGGATCTATTGACTTTCATTAAAACATGTAACTTGCCTAGCTATTTTTTGGACTAATTAGAAAAAACATGCTAATACCAGTCCCTAGTAATAACCTATAATTTGTCTAGCGAGAGGACTTGCCATGGAGCTACACAAATTGATTCTTTTGCACATCCCTATTTGATACCCTGCTATAATAGAATCCGGTTCGATGGCAGGATGTTGCTTGGGGATGTACAGTATCATCGAGTTCTCTAGCTATACAAAGTATATATTATTTATACATTTGCAACAGGTTCATTATTATTTTACTCTAATTAGGTGTTTATTTGTTTATGAATAATTTTCACGCATGTTCACCTAAACCTAAAATTCATATCATTATTTTTACATTGTCTTCAATATAAACATTGGTTGAGATTTGGTTATTTTTATTGCTTACTATATCAAATTTTAATTATTCTAAGATATCATAGCCTAAACTTTCATTTTTTTTTATACAATTTTTAGAACTTCAAATGGAAAGAAAAAATAAAGTTACCTCTGCCGATGATGAACATCAACCAATCGTCAATAGTACTTTAAAGTAATGTTTAATTTTGTATTTTATATTATGAATTGTACATAATTATGGTTAATTTTTATAGTTCACCGATTAAAACTTCCTCTACACAGTCTGAAGCATTGACTAAGTAAGTTTTATGCTTTATTTAAACTTATTTACAATTAACAACATTATCTAAATAATAAAATATTATATTTGACATTATATTTATTATTTTTGTATAGTTCAGATGTAAATAATACTGTAGATTCAACAGCAAGTACTTCAAGCCATACTAAAGGTCGTAGTCGCCGACCAAAAGGGTACATTTTTAAGTTATTTGGAATTGTATATAATATAATTATTAAAATAATAAACTATTTATTTATTTTTGTATGGGGTATTTTTGAAGAAGAAATTGTGCAACTCAAGATTCTACTAATGTGGATGGACCAATAATATGCATAGGAGATTTTTATGATGGTTATGATATGCCATCGCCAATAGTACCTAAGGAAAAAACATCTAATGATAAAATGATGGATGATGCTAACAATATCATGGATGTAAGTTATGGGTTAATACTGTTAATAGTTTAAAATATTTTTGTTTTATAAATAATTGATTCTTGAACATTATGTATTAAATGTTTATACTTGTTAGAATTGGAAAAAAAGACAAATCGAAGAAGCTGAAACAGAAGATGATTTAGCTTTAGCAAATCGTGTTATGAATGTTAAAGTCTTTTGGCGACAAATGCGTACATATCGTTTTCCACTTAGAATGGTTAGATATTTTTAGAAAGTTAATTATTATTTATAAATAAATTTTTTAAATTTTTTAAAAATTAGTTTCAGCCAATTTCGGGTATTTTTGAATATTTTGCAAAATTAGAAGACATAGATCCTTCACATGTTCATTTGGATTTACACAAAAAGACTCTTTCACCAACAGATACTCCAAATTCAATCAACTACAAGATAATTGATTTCATTGGTAATATTATAATTTTAAATTAATTATTTGTCAACATATAGCCTAATTATTTTATATGTTCACAAAAAGTGGTGTTCACCAGACCAAGAATAACATTTAAAATCATGTCATCATTTTTATTAAATTAAGATAAAATCTATATTTGATGGTTATCAGTAATTTTAGTGGAATTTGCTTGTATTTTTGTTGTTTATTTTTCCTATTAACAACCCTGAAACAAATTTTAATGCAATAAAAATGAAATGAGCATCTAAAGAAATGTATAAACTTTTTATAAATGTACTTTAATTATTAATACCTTAAATCTATTTTTCTCTATAGTTATTTTAGTCATACTAAGTTAATACTACACATGTATTTTAGATAAGGCTTGTCAGGCAGTGTGATTTTATGACATAACACATAAAGCGCGACTTATATTTAAACATAAAATCAATTCTCATAATAAAAAATTTGATTTCTCTAGTCCTTTTGGCAAAAAAAAAAAAAAATCATAATAATAATAATAATAGTAACAAGTAGTATAATTAATTTTTAGTAAGTTTGACCAACATTCCTTTAAAGTTCAACTAGTTTAGTTTAGGAGCAACTTCTGCTCTATAGCATACTTTATATATTTAGTAATTTATTATTTTTTTTTCAATTATATATTTTTTTTTATATATTATACGTACGTATTAATATAKGCTTCTTAATTTTTTCTAACATCATAAATAGKCCCGATAGCCTACTTACAAATTATAAGGCTTGAGCCTCTTAAGGCCATACCAAATAGGTACCAATTTTGGCTAAACTCAGTAATTTTATAATTTTTAACAATTTTAACTGAATAATTGAAAAGAGAAAATTACGTAAAGGCAAAAGTAGTTTGTCCGTAGGTTATTAATCATGAGATTTTGGTGTACTATCTTTGATAGTTTAAATATAATACAAATATACTAATTTGTATTTAAAAAAAAAAAATATTCGTTTTTAGAGTTCTTTTATTAATCATAATAACTATACTGTCTATACAAACAGCATGCGAGTACACCAACTACTTTAGTTTATAATAAAGTTATTTATAAATTTCTTAGATTAATAATTAATAATTATCATTGATATAATTATTAACTTAATTTTATACGTATATTATGTAATTTATTTAAATTTTATYATCTGGTTATGTTATTTGTTTCCTATAGGTCTACAGTTTGATTTATTTGCCACACAGCCCTAACCAGTATCTAAGTCACAGTTTCATTTTTTAATTTCTCAAATAATACAAAGTACTCAAATGATAATTTAGATAAATTTAAAATAGTGTTTAATGTTTTAATTATTTTTATTTTTGGTGTATTGAACTCAAATGCTGTTATGTACAATAAAATAATAATAAAAGAAGACTTGAAATTAGTACACAGAAAAGTCAATGTAAAAGTTCCAACAATTGACACAATGAGACTGTATAACTAACTACTATTTTAAATTTTTCAATAATTTTTATTACCTACTTATTCTTGGTTATATTTCATAGGTATCCTATCATACATTTTATGTAATATTAATAATATTGTTCAATTTATAGAATTAATGTATTCTATTCTATTACATTATAATATATATGTATATATTTTTTTTTTTTATTGAACTTAAATCAAAATGTAGATTAGGTTTATTTTTTACTTGAACATAAATTCATTTTCAGTTTACTGAAGTAATAAGTGGTTGATTATATTATATAATTTCTCAGTTGGAGAAATAGACCAATTATGCATTTAAATATAAAATGATAACACAGAACACAAATGTCTATTAAGTTTCTATATTTTTGAAAATAATCTTTCATTAACTTTTCAATTTATTAGGCCATTGAATATTTTTATTATACATAATTGGCATATGGTTAAATTCATTGAAGTCTAAATAATTTCAAAAGAATTTGTTTAGTTTGTTTCACTGGCTTAATAATATTCTCTAAAATAATTAATGCATAGTTTGGCTTTTAAAACTTTTATTCGAATATAGGCAATATTTTTTTAGTCTTTATTTTTCTTTTACAAGTTGATTAATGATTGCTTTATTCCAATTTTTTAGATGGTGATATTGAATTTTATAAGAGCCCTTATGATACACCCGCTGATGTTTCTGAAGTTGAAGTTGAAAAACCACAAGACGATTTTGTAAAATTTTGTATTAAGCAAAAAGATACAAAAAGGCCAATTATTATGGAGATTAAAAAAACTGACAAAATGCTGATTTTGTATATCAAACTATCAGAGTTGTTAGATTTAGATATAGACTCGTTTACATTGGAGTTTGATGGTGACCAAATTAAAAAATCTGATACAATGGAAAGCTTGGATCTTGAAGGAGATGAATGTTTTGAACTCTTCCCAAAAAAAACAAAGAAATAGATTAAGTATTCGGAAAATAAAATATTTCTTCTACTAAATATTTTTTTATTATTTKATATTATTTTCAATGATTACTATAATTATAAATTTTGCCTAATTTGTTAAGTAAGGATAGAAATTTATTCTTTAATGTACTCTTTCTGTTATTATGTAATATTAAAGTATCAATGTAATCGTCCAATATTATTGTTGCATAATTAATACTTTTATGTATAAACATTAAGACCGATGGGTTTGTATATGTGTGAATTATATTTTTGTACAATGAATGTGTATATTTATATATATATATATATATATATATATATGTTTGTAAAACTTGTTAGGAGCTATTTGAATTGAAATTAATAATGACAATATTTTAATATTTGTATTAAGAGAATGTCAGAGATGGTTTCTCTCCCTGGCCTACGCAACATAGACAAAACACATGTGCGCAGAATAATTTTTTTTATATTTTTAAGCAATCTTAGAGTAAAGTCGCCCATTAAAAAAAGATAAAGAATAATATTTTTAAGGAAATGATATATCAATATTATTTTTTACTGTTATTTGATTTTGTAACCAAYTTAAATATAAACAAAAAAATGTTATAAATTTAAATAATATTTAAATTGGTTGAGACAATATTTAGACAAATCGTGTCATTCCCTAATTAATAAATAATTCCTTATCTTTTTTGTTATAGGTAATTTTACTCTAAGATTGCTTAAAACATTTTAAAAAAATGATTCTGCGTAAATATGTTTGTCTATGTTGCGCGTGGGCCATTAAGAGATAACAAATAGTGTCTGACATTCTTTTAAAATTGTATCAATTAATATCAATATAGTGCTCAGATTTATATTCAAATATATATCTTCTACTATTCACCTAGAATAATTTTGATTATAAATGTCGACATTTCATGATGTGTAGATTTTATAGTTAATTTTTTGCATATTTTAGCATATTTCATTTAAAATGCATATTAAGTGCATTTTTTTAGATAGTTGCATAAATATTGTATATTCTACAATTATAATCATTATAATTCTACCTTTGTTCATTGAAATAGTCATATTTATGTTTGAATAGGTACCTTCTGTTGATCGTAAATAATCCATGATAATGTACATCGTTAAGTCATAAATAAATAACACAAAATATTGGATTTTCTAGTGGTTAGGTTAGTTTATTTATTATTATTTGGCTACATGTGACATAGTACATGTATATATACCGTACATGCTATTAAAACATTTTATTTCGCAGTTTTTTCAATAAACTTTTTATGTATATCTTTAGTTTAAATTTGTAAAAAAAAAAAAAAAAATGATTTTGCATAATATTACTTATAATATCTACTTTTTTTGTCTTCAAATTTTCGTAAAATTTGTGCGATTCTTCTTTTATTAAAAACTGCTTTAAACGAAGTAAATCTTTATATTTCGAATTATTTTTTATAGCAAGTTTCTCATTATATAATGACTTCAATGCATTGGTTTTAATGTTTTCAATGTTTGCATTTTGCCGTGTCTTTTTTCCGCGTTTATTCTGTTTTGGCACTATCTTTAGTGCTCGCATACATTCCACAATAGCTGCAATTCCTACAAGTGCTTTGTGGAACCAAGCACGTATCTAGGATCAATTTTCGCGGGGAGGTTTAAAATATTTTAAGTTCGTCTTCCGACAACATTGCGATAACATATTATAAATATATAACTACTTTAAAAAATCGGGGGAGGGGGAGGGGGGTTGAACCTCTAAAACCCCCCACTCCCTGTAACGGTTAGGTGCAAAATGAGTGCATGGTCTTTACGAAATTCTATAACTCTTATGGATCTTGTTTTAAGGTTACTTTTTTTTGAGTAATATCCTTGCGACTATTCCGCCCAGTTTTGGAATATGATGTCTTTTTCACAGTCGACTACAGTGAAGGGCGAAGGATTTATTCGACTGTTTAACAAAACCTCTCGCCAGTCATCTGGAGTTTCGGTGTAAGATTTACAGTTTATTAAG